AAACTTAGCGGCTTTGGTACTATTGTGATTTGACGTTTTTGAAAATTTAAAATCACAATTATGTATTTTGACAACTTAGGAGCCAGATGGGTCGTAACCTTATATGGGCCTTGACATAAAGTAAACCCATTGCGTATAAATTATTTTTGAAATCTAATGAATATGCTTTTGACGTGTATAAAATAAGCTTGAAAGTTTATATCCAGAATATTTTTCATATATGTAGACTACCGTGTTTTATATTATTTTTTTACAAAAATGTTGTCTATTGCCAACACAGAAGAGATTAATGTTCGTGTTTTCTCCAACACAACATCTTTTTTCTCGCTTATTTAATTTCCGTAGCACTGTGTTATACTCTAAATACTTGTGTTGTTATGTTTTATATATTTAACAAGTTGGGACTTACTGCATCGCCTACATTTTATAAATAAATTTTAATTGTAGCATTAAAATATATTTATAGATATTGTTTTTGGTAGATTCCTTTGCCTATATACAAAAAGTGCAACATTTTGACAAACACGCCCTCAAATGCCTATGGTGTTTGCTTGAGAACTGCATATACGTTTATTTTCTCCTTTTCTCGGAGGTTGCAGTTACCCACAATAATATTTTATATTGACTTACTTCCCTGGCAGGAGGAATGATAGAGATTTTGCAATAAATGGGAGTACCATTCTCCATATTACATCCATGAATATAAATTGTTACAACGTTAACGGGTTGGTATCGCAAATACAGTTATTAATTGCTCGAAATTCACATGTGCTGATATGTAGTTACCATTACCTCTCTTCCTTCGTTCTTTAATATTCTCTGATATTTCATTTAGTAGTCGAAACAAATATAGAGATGGTATTGATTGGTTCAAGTATGTGCAGCTACACGGGAGACGACAACTTCTTCACTCGGAAGAATCAAGTTTTTGGCGATAGGAGAAATAAAGAAGCGAAAATTAGAAGAAAGAGTTTATAGAATGTAATGTAGTTAGCAGGGTGGTCTGCCTAACCAGTGGAATGCTTGTAGCAAAGTAAAAAAGTAAATGATAATGGGATCTGTGTCGTTAGAGCCTGTATTTCGTACCTGCATCTCGACTTATCCGCACATTGCTCTGTTCGACCTTATCCGACAGCTAGATACACTGATACTTTCCGTCTATCGGCTCTTTGAGGTCCGCCTGATCAATGACCGCAAATCTAAGGTCCTCCGATACCATCAGTTGAGCAGATTGATATTCCTGTTTCGATTTTGAGTCGCAAAGTTTTTTTTTTTCGAATCATTACCGACAGGATCGTCTTTCGATCTTTCCATCTGCGTACTTCTCACTATCCTTCTTTGCCGCCACCGAAGCACACGAAACGAGGGCCTGTTATACCGTCTGTGTAGCCACCATTTGCTTTGGGTTTCTCGGTTGACCGCAGTTGGTTTAGGCGCCTTCGAGGCTGCTTCCTTCGGCCAAATTAGCATCTCGCAAACAAGACGGTCTTATGCCCGCTCGCTGTAGCATTCTTTGTAGTTGACTCTGACCTTTTCCGTTATAACGTATTTTGTTCATGCATCAACAGATATAGCTTCGACTGAGCCGGTTTTAAGGGTTTAGCAGCCTTTTTAATGGCCTGCGGTTCCGTTGTCTTTTTTCTCTTGCGTTGAATGTTGTTGTTATTTTTGCAGCAGCTCCTACTTCTGCCTCCGTTCTGTTTCTTGTCAACCGAGTTTTGCTTCCGAAGAACGCAACCTGTATAGGTTGGGTACATAACGATACCGGAGCATCGTTTGGCTGGGATGTGAAGTGAAGAGATGTAGTGTGTCATGTGGGCCTGTGCCACATGCTGTCAATCCGTATCCAATACGAATTAACGTGGCTGCACCATCCGGATCCTAATTGTGACAAACTACTCGAGCTTTTCGGGGCAATTCTCGATGGGAGGGGGTGTTCTCCGAGTATGGTATTCATTCTCTTTTCTTCTATGATATAGGGGGGACCGCGTCGGAGTAAATAACATTTAGTCCTGCTCGATCAACCTAGTGATCTAGGGGCTCTCTCTCTCATACCTCTGTACCCCTCTCTCTAGATCATGAATGTCATTCCTTAGGTCTCTAGTCGGAGTTAGCTTATCCTCTAGATGGTGATTGGGATGGCTCTTTTATAACACCGAAATAGTTATTGCATCGAGACCATTTTATAATGCTGTCGCTTTGGGTGTTGGTACCTTCGGTTTTGGCACCTCAGAGACCTTCTTTAAAGGTTTATTTGGCCCGGACTGGCTTCACCACTGTATGCATGTAGGAATCCTGCTTATCGAAAGCTCTTTCGCGTTTTTGGTGTCTGAAGAACTAAATTACAACGCCGCTCTGCCCTGCTTCTACAATTTCCTTATGCTTTAATACCGTGGGCTTGTTGGTATTTGCTGACGAATTAGTGTGGGACCGCAGGTCGAATTTCTTTGGGGCCAATCCCTTCTCGTCAGACAGGAACCTTCCCAGAAGTCTACGGGCCTACCGACTACAAACACTGTAACACTGGCAGAAACGTAGTTGCATAACATAGAGGTATAGAGGTTTGACAGAGGCTTGACTACATTAGAGGCGCCCAGACATAGCCTTGACACTCTAGTGTTTAATATATATCTACTGGGCTTTCCACTATTCACATCCTGTGAACGCTTCCGACGGCAATCAACTATGCTTCCCGAAGTCAGAAATATAGCGATACTCGCATCGATCGATAGCAGATATTTTTTAGGTTTTCAATGAAAATGAACAGGGGTTTAAAGAACAGAAGTGTTTAACTTTATTTTACAGATGTCGATTTGACTTTTTTCGCTGAATCGGTATGCGTGGTCTTCCAGAAATGACTGGGAAAATACTATATTTAGAATATTTTATAAATTCCGTTCACCAATCAGTGGGCCATAATTGCAAAACATAATTAGTAACTGCTTCTTTTGGGACCTATTGATTTATTTTTATTTACCGGCCGGGTCCCACTCGAAATGAGTTTGATATTTAAAACATTGTCTTTTCACGGAAGTAAACATTGTAAAATGATATGATTGGTGAGCTTAATAATTTTAGTTTAGTACAACGTGTGTTCCATTTAAAAATCCCTTTAGTTTTCTAATTCTTTATACTTTCTAGTTTTTTTTTTTTCTTTCTATTAAACACATTTTATTTATTTATAAATTTCCCTCAATGCAAATTTTATATTAATTTATTTCCCACTCTTTTTTATTTCTTTCATTTTCAGATTCCATCATTAGGCCCACTATTGCCATACACACCACATAGAAATTAGAAACAATATTGCTTATTTAAAATACATTTTTGTTTATTATTATTATTTTTTGTTACCAATCATAAAAGTAAAACTTTTTTTAATTTGTAAGACATACCTAAGATATATACAAATATACATAGCTTATTAAACATACTATCACACGTCCACCCTTACCTGGTAACTGCTTGTTTACAAGGCAAAATATTGAATGTATGAATATTTTTTTATAATAGAAACAATAAAAGTAATTAAAAAAGTTTATAAACTAAATCAAAATTCTATGATCCTCCACAATTCTTCTGTATTCCAAATTCTCTATTTCTCTCTACCTTTATTATATTACTATAAATGTGTGTTGTTTATTTTGTTATTTATTATTATGTATTATTATAATTATATTAAATTATACAATATATGGAATTATTAAGGCTAAACAATTTAAATTAAAAGAGAAAACAAATTAATTATTAATAATAATCTAAAATTATATACATGTATATTTATTAATAAATAAAACAGAAAAACAAAAACAAACAATAAAAAAATATATTTATTATTATGATTAAAGAAAAACAATACAAACAAAAACAACAAACTCTTTAGTGAGTTTTTTTAGGTTAACCCAAATAGACAAATGACAAAATGGTCAATAAAAAAGGCTCCTAGGTAAACATGAAAATGATTATGAAGAAGAAAAAAAAAAACAACAACATATAACACCTAAAACAATACCTTATTTATTATAACTTATTGAAGAAAAGTAAAAGCAAAACGAAACTTATAATTAACCAATAAAATATTAACAAGACACAATACCAATGTCTAATTCCTCCTCCTCCTCCTACGCCTACTATCTCCCCCCCCCCCCATATCCCTAGAAAAACAACTACAACAACAATAATAATTCTGAAAACAAAAGAAAAACCAAACTGTCTCATGTTGGAATATTAATTATACAACATTATTATATATTATACACCTATTAAACTACTTATATAATATCTATTGAAAACCAATTAAATAAATTAACAAACAAAAACAATAATATTTATAAAATAAAACCACAAGAACAACAAAACCGAAAACCTAATGAAAAAGAACAACAACGTTTGGACTAATGTATGGAAAAACAAAGATATTATATTAACAGAGTTTCGCTAAGGAGGTATATCCTTAATCCTTATTAAGCCTATACAACAACAATAATAAAGAAAACAATATACTCCGCATAGAATTACTAACTACAACATGAACAACAAAATGCAAAAAAAAAGACAAAGACAAGAAGTAAAAGCAAACAAAAACCACAAAACAAAAACAAATTGTGTATGATTTATGGTATAATGGAATAACGGTATTTTTTGGGATTTAAACCACAAATGAACTCAAAACAATAATAATTGTAATTTTCAAAAAAAAAAAAAACAAATAAAGTAATAATAAAACAAAAAAACATAAGACAACTAAACACAGTTATATTTATTAAATAATATTAAAAATAAAACAAACAATTATTATTAAAACAATAGTTTTATTGTGATGCGTTTGTATTAATCGATAAAACCCAAAATAGAAATATGTACACATATGCCACACAGTTCAAAGTTAAGGGAATCAAATTCCATATGGTTGTTAGGTGGTAAATACGGGTTAAATTGAAAAGAAAAAGTTGCATGTTTTGCATCAGAAACAATTGGAAATAGGAGTAAAAGAAGATGAGTACTGAATTGAACTTGAAGAACAACATTTAAAATTTATTAGCCAAAACTATAAAAGACACTTGTTTAATGGATGATAAGTCCAATTTATAGCAACAGTGCTTGAACTAAAACATTTGTTACATTGGTCATTTCTGTTTTGAAGGGGTTCCGCTTGTACAATAATTTTCAAGGTAGCGCATAGTAATCCACCGTATAGAAGTTTTTATGGTAGTCCTGTAATGTCAAAACAAATACACGTGTTTTTTATGTGGATGCATGGTTTTGAATAATATACAAAAAATAATAAATTTTTCAAATTGTCTTGAAATGTAAGTTCATATTTTTGGTTGAAAAAAACCCTAATCATATTTGGAACTAGATATTGTGAAAGATCTTTGATATTCAATTTTTCGGGATTTAATCAAAAATTAAAATATTAAATATCGAGTTTCTAATATGATCCCAAACAGTTAATTTCAATTACAATACTCAGAAATAAGAAAGAAGACCGTTTGGATAATACTGTTAAACTTTTCAAAAAACCATAAAGTGTGCGAGGCCGTTATATGGTGGTCATACCAACACGGGAACCTCTAAGGTGTGCGATGAAAAAACTGCAACTAATTTTAGACTGCTGTCATTTCCAAGCCACTCGTCCGACAGCTGTTAAAATTATTCCAGTGACAGCACATTCTATTACTTACAAACGTACAAAAGCATTTTGGTGAAAATTTTCCAGAAAAAAAGTTATTCGTGATGGAATTCAAGCGTGATAGTGTGATTTCTTTATATTTGGCTGCAAAACCACAAGTGGCTATCGTTAGAGCACTCCAGCATTTAAATGTGAATAAATCTTTTGTGTCTCGTACCAACGCTCGTTACCGTGATACTGGTAGAGTAGCCCGAAGTTACGGAAGTGGACGGAAGAAAACAGCAACATCAGCCGAAATGGTTCGAAAAGTAAAGAAGCGACTTGATCGAAACCCACGTCGCAGTGGCAGAAAAATGGGTATTAAGCTGACCATATCGCAATATTCCATTCGGCAATTATTAAGCTCGGGGTAAAGGCATTGAAATTCCAAAAAAAATGCAAGAACTAAAACCGCAACAGAAAAAAATAGACTCAAAAGAACTAAAAAGTTGCTTTGCTTGGCCGAAAGTGGTAAACTGCCGAATGTGGTTTTCTCCGATGAGAAAACACTCGTTGTCCAGCAGTTTGTAAACAAACAAAATGATCGTGTTTACTTGCCAAAGAGGTCAGCTGAAAATGTGCACCTTCGGTTGGCCACCAGAACTCAAGAGCCGGCGTTGGTGATGGTGTGAGCCGCCATAACAACCGATGGTCGCTCTTCGCTCGTATTAATCGACCGTGGCATCGGAATAAATGCCGAATATTATCGCGAAAATATTCTGGAGGCTGTATTAAAGGCCATAATTCGTGCCAAAGGTGACCAATTCGAACAAATCTAAACTTTTTCTAAAATTTGATGCTATTTCCGACATTTTTTGCTTTCATTCAATAAAATGTAAAAATTATGGCGTTAGACTTTGTTGCAGTTTTTTTATCTCACCCTTTGCTTACTTGTTTGTATCAGGGTTTACCTTGAGAGCATTATTCACAAATGTCCAACTATTCTAATTTCCCATTTCCAGCAAAGTCGGGAATGACCCTTACATAACTGGCCGATGTTTCGTGGATAATTTCAACATTTGCTTTCTTTGTTTTCTGTGAAGATCCATCAAAACACAGTAGGAAACGCGTTTTCATGTTTTGCTACCATACTTGTCCTAACGATGAGTTCCATCCATTCCATGCTCAACATATACTTTGCTCGATGATTATATTTATTATAAAGTCCAAATCAAACTCACATCTTTATACCTTGAAAAGAAATGTGGGCCTTAGAGTGTCTCTCAATGACTGCATTTCCCCCCCCGACTTTGTCTAAAAAGTTACTGTTCGTAAGTCTGGTTGGGCGGAGCTCTTTTGGGGGGAGTGATAGGACTGATATGACATAACCAAGCAAAAAAATATATATATCACCTTTTTAGAATCTAAAAATACTTTCTCTTATTCTTTTAAAGCATTCCACATACAGTCATGGAAAAGTCATTCTGTTCTTCATATTCAAACAACATCCGATTTGAATCCAAAATCATTTAATTCATTAGAGGTAGCTTTTATAAACTTTTCTGGTACAAGTCTAAAACTTACCAAAAAATACATTTTTTATAATTTTTCAAGGGAGTCCTTTTCGGTAGCACAAACATGTTTAAAAATATTCGAAATAAATCGATTCCTTCTTCTTTTACCCAAAATTATGTAGTCTGGAATCACTTGAACCTTATGGTTTAAGAGCTTTTTTGTCATTTAACATTTTGCAGGGTGGTCTACGAAATGTAAATATTAGAGGATGCAAATTAAATACACTTCTGGTAATGAGTCAATATACATATTAAGAAAAAAAAAATGTTCAAAGCTCCGTGAGATCTGAATACAATTGTAAGTGGGACCGAAGGACTTGGCAAAAAAAGAAAATAGAAGGATAACGGTAATTATGGTTCCATGTTGACTTATTTTGCACTTAATAAACACATTACAAATACACAATACCCTGTGTGTGAAGTGGATTGTAAGATTCAAATGATTTATATTTAAAAACAACAATCAGTACGAAAAGAGATCAAGATCAAATATATGTTAACTAAAAGTAATATATAAAATATAACGAAACTATACATTTTCCCATCTTAGGTAGGGTATACTAATATTACCAAATGTGTCATCATTTAGCACAATAATTTACACTGCAGACATTCAAGATTGTAACAGAAGATATGGAAGGACGCCTTGGCAATTTCATTGGAAAAGGTAAGCATCCTATTAGGTTAGATGTCCATATTGATTTGGTTATTGTTTTTTTTTTTCTCTTTTGTTTCCTTTTATCACAGATCGATATCGTAAATGTTGTATGTAGGTGTATAAAAATGTTCCATGTCGGGAGAAAAAGAATAACATAACACAAGAAGAATATTGCATCAGATAAGTTGACCTCAATCCTTTTTTTCTTCTTTCCTAAAAGCTACCACTTCCAGGCTGTTTGTTGTTCTTTATTAAAAACACGTGCTCTTTGGTGTTTAAACAACCCCCTATTTCACAATGTATATAAATACATGTGTATGTGAGTATATAAGGATATACATACGCATATACGTTTAATGGTAGTGTTTTATTAAGAAATGGCTGAAGGATTAAAAATATCCTATTAATAATGTCCATATTATTGAAAAGGAATAAAACAAGCAAAACAGTATCATTCGGTTTTACCGACAGATGTATACCCCCAGCCTTGAGTTATGATTATTGAATCAGTTGACCCTTTATGGGGAAGGTTCCGAAGCAGTTGGTCAATATTGATACGAATTGTATCTGACCTACGTCTGATATAAATATTACAAAGTGCCAGATTTGGACTATATCGACTCCTTCCTATACTTTATATGAGATATTTGCATATTTTTGGATAATGTGGAAATATGCGGGGGGTAACAGTTATAGCGGACCGAAGTATTCGAAGTTCATACTTCATCTTACAATGATAAAAATATTGGTTTGTGCAAAATTTGAAGGAAACCGAACATTTATATCCCGTTTTATGCGAAATCATAAATTTCGATAAACCACATATCCCTATCAGATATTTGGTTAAGAGAAATATTTAGATATAGCAAGTTGTAAAGAATCGCCAACTTGTTTCGCAAGTTATGACAGATATAAATATTGGAAATTGTGACCCCTTGTGGGTGAGGTACCAGAAGGGGTTGGCAGATATTGTGTTAGCAAAAATATTTGGATGTATAAAATTTGAAGAGAGTTGGATGTTTATTTCGCTTTCTTTGAGCGTTTTGTTTTTCAAAACGTGGGGCAGGTACCAGAAGAAATTGTTCGATCTCTTCCATCTTTATAGCACACCTTGTGTTGATGGAAATATTATTATAATGTACCAAATCTGAATTGAATCGGATGTAAATTTCTCGTTTTAGGAGCTTCATAAATATTCAAAATTTTGACCCTTTGTGGCGGAGGTACTAGAAGGAGTGGGCCGATATTATCCATCCTCACAACAGACCTTGGTTTAATAAAAATGCTTTGATGATTGTAATTTGAAGAGAACCGGAATCTTATTTTCGATTTTATGATCGTTTTGGTTATTCAAACTTTGGTCCTTTGTGGGGAGGCTTTAGAAGGAATGGTCCGATTTCAACCATCTTTATAACAGCTCTAGTGTTTATGAAAATATTGAGAAGTGCCAAATCTGAATGGAATCGGATATTAATTTCGTGTTTTATGAGCATCATGAATATTCAAAATTTTGACCCTTTGTGGCGGAGGTACTAGAAGGAGTGGGCCGATATTATCCATCATCACACCAGACCTTGGTTTAATAAAAATACTTTGATGTGTGTAATTTGAAGGGAACCGAATGCTTATTTCGGATTTAATGATCGTTGTGGTTATTCCAAACTTTGACCCTTTGTGGGGCAAGTACCAGAAGGAATGGTCCGATTTCTACCATCTCTAGAACAGATTTTGTGTTGATGGGAATATTGAGATGTACCAAGACTGAATGGAATCGGATGTTCATTTCGTGTTTTATGAGCTTCATGAATATTCAAAATTTTAACCCTTTGTGGGGGAGGTACCAGAAGGAGTTGATCGATATATTCCATCTTCACATCAGACCTTGGGTTAATAATAATATTGTGATGTGTTTAATTTGAAGACAATCGGACACTCACATCACATTTTATAAAAGTTATAATTATTTAAAATTTTAACCCTCTATGGGGCAGGTACTTAATAGAGTGGATCGATATTTTCCGCTTTCGCAGCTGACCTAGCACTGATGCAAATATTAGGATTTGCAAAGATAGAGCAAAATCGGATTATAGTTTCTCTTATTGTGCAAAAAATATATTTTTTGAAAATTTCGACCTTTTTGGGGAAGGTACCAGAAGGAGTGGACCGATATTACCCATTTCCGAACTCGATATAAGTTATATAATAATATTACGATGAACCAAGTTTGGATCAAATCGGATACTCCCTTCGAGAGTTATCGTGCGCACCAGCCAGCCAGACAAACAGACGAACAGACATCGCTAGATCGACTCAAAATGTTCTGAAACAGATTTGGTCCAAAGAGACTTAGGTTTTAAAACTGTTATTTCGATATGGCACATGTACATCGTATCTCTAGCCATATGGCTGAGGGTATAAAAATTAAATTTTTATCAAGACAAATATACCTTTTTGAATTGGCTATTCTTGATCCTGTTACAAATGTTTTCCCTTATTTAACATACCACCTCTACATTCCCTCAATGTTAATAATAGATTTTTAGATTTTGTTATTTATTGGTTTCACATTTGGAATCAATAACAAATTTTTAAACTGTTCCCCACCGCTCCAATCCCTGTTACCATTGTCATGTGTTAAATAAGCATCCCTTTTTTTCTTGGTGTGGTTCTGCGTAAAAAGCTGCACATACACACAATTTGATAGTGGATACTATGGATACTTTTAGTGGGCGTCTTCATTCATCGTTTTGCTCCATTTCACAGTTGACTGGGCGAGCTACTGTGCGATGTGTGTATGGCGTCTCTCTCTCTCTTCCCATTGTCCATGGTGGTATCCATGCTTAGCGTAAAGATTCCTTGTTGACATTGAAACTGAATGAAATGAACGTGGTTGTTGTACATTGGATACATACAAACAAATATAAAAGTATATACCAACATACATATGAATACACATGTAAGGCACCAAGTAGAATATGTAATTTATTTACTAACATGTATATATGTGTAACCATGTTTGTGTATGCTGACATAATTTCAAATCATGTTGCGTTGCTTGTTTTCAGTATCTTCTTTTGTTTAGCTTCACATCACGACAGTTTCGAAAGTAATCATGACTAATTCCTATTTGTTTTGTTTCCTCTCGCTCTCCTCATGCTTTCATCATCTGCGTTAGAAAAAAAGGATGAGCAACAGTAGGTACATAAATACCATCACACATAAGTATGTATTTATAGAGAGTAAGTAATACTTTACCCAAGGCATTAGTTGGAGGCCATGATGTTGGAAATCAAGACGGATACATTTTCTGTAAAGCACATGACAGAAGGCCAATGCTTATGGAAACAAAACAAAAGAGAACTAAATCCTTGGTAATGACTTAGCTGACCTATTTAAATAATGTTCCAACGCGTAATTGAGTCTTTTATATAACACATAAATATGTGTGTATGTTATTTGTATGTCAGGGGATTTAAATGGAGATAGTTTTGTAACAGCATTTGAAATGCCACATCATTTCTGAAATAAAGTAGAACTAGTAAAGTGAAAGTCTAAAGTCTGGTTAGTCACCGTGGAAATGTCTCCTGGATTCATAACAAGTTATTTAATTATTAACTGTTTCAAAATCAGGAATAATCTTTAGTGATTTGATAGAGGAAGTTGCCGTTGCGAAATTTCTCACAATAGTTTCAATGAATTTGAAGTTGTTCTTGAGATTTTTACAACGTGATGCACATGAACAAAATCTCCAGGATGGTAATCCTTGATCTTTAGTCATATATCCATATTTCCAAGTGTTAGGATGCTGTTTTTGATACATCTGTGGCGGTGACAATCCCATGTCTTACACATGAAATTTGTTATTTTAGAAGATTAATGGGAAACACAAGAATCTCATCACTTTTCAGTTACAGTTACGGGTTAATATCGGCTATGCTGTATCCTTCAGAAAAAGTTAATTTTTTATTGTACCCTCCACCATACCATGGAGGGTATATTAAGTTTGTCATTCCGTTTGTAATACCTCGAAATATACATTTTAGACCCCACAAAGTATATATATTCTTGATCTTGATTCTAGCGATGTCCGTCTGTGGAAATCATTCTAGCTTCCGAACGAAATGAAGTAGGTTACTAAAATTTTACTCAAATGTATATTATGTCTGCAGGACTTTTGGTATTGGAAAAGGGCTATGTAAGCCACGTTTTGGTATAGCCCCCGTATAACGGTACCTCCCGATATCCGATATTTTGATGATTTTAGCGACATTATTCACCGGATATGTTTCAAATTTGGTATTTGAAGTTCGTAATGGATACTACAAGCTATGACAGATAATTGTATGTGCAGGTTTACGTCTTCGTATAGCCCCAATATAACGGTATCTCCCGATATTCGGTATTTTGATGATTTTAGCGACATTATTCACCGAAATTGTTTCAAATTTGGTATTTGAAGTTCGTAATGAATACTACGGCCTAAGAGAGAACATTGTCTGGGTAGGTCCACGTCTTCGTATAGCCCCCATATAACGGTATCTCCCGATATTCGGTATTTTGGTGATTTAAGTGACATTATTCATCGGAAATGTTTCAAATTTGGCACCAGAAATGTTTGGTACAGGCTAAGTCAGAAAATTGTCCGTGCAGGTCTACGCCTTCGTATAGGACCCATATAACGGCACCTGCCGATATTTGGTATTTTAGCTACATTATTCACCGATTTCATTCGATTCCGATTCACCGAATGTTGTAATGGCTTATGACAAAAGTCCGCGTCGTCATATAGACCTTAATACACTCAGTATTTTAAAGGTTTTAACAGAATTTTTAACGGATTTTATTTTTACCCCCTGCTAAACATTAACATAGTTCTCAACTAATAAGCAAACGTTGTTTTTATAATAACAACAATAATGAACGGTTCGCAACAGTATTTTATATTTTTGAAAACTGCCAAATTCGTTCCAAATGGTGGAGGGTATTCAAAGTTCGGCCCGGCCGGCAGCTTTACACCCTACAACACAATGTGTTGTTGGAGATGGGGTTAGGGTTGGAATAGAACCTTATTGTTGTTGATGATAATCGAAAAAAATTGAAGGTTTGAAATGGAACGAAAAGAGAAAAATTTCGCGTCGCAATTAAAAATCAATCGACACAGAATTTTGCACGAGGACAGAGTTTTTGGACCATATTTAGCGGATAAAATATTTAGCGGATTTTATGTGAAACTGTTTTGAATATCAATCAGCACGACAGAGAGGGATACAGAGGGCCAATGCCCCGAAACCAAAGGCAACGTTTGCATGGCATTTTAAAAAAATTTGCAACATATTGTAGTGTTGTAGGGTATCAAATGGTCGGCCCCGCAGGATTATAGCATTTGTTTACTTCTTCTAAACTAGAGTTATTTCCAATTGGTAGTCATGTATATCCTTACTGGCTGCATTGATAAAATACTGTGGAGCAGACGCAGCAACTACCACATCGCGTCTTGATGTGGTGGAATAACCGCCCCAGAAATTATGGCAAAAAACGGTCATTAAGACCCTCGACAACATACAACTATTTTCATTATATTTCTTGGAATAGTCTATGAAATATCCCAATGGACATAAATAAACGCCACTTACCTTCGCATTTTTATGTATTCTGCTTGTTGCCAAGATGCCTTCTTCTATATATCTAACAAACTATTCTCGATTTTCAAGAATTCATGAAATTAAATTCTTATTATAAATAAAAATATCAGTAAACAATAAAGTATTGACTTTTGTTCCAAATTTAATATTTGCTTGACTGGTAAATTGCTATTGTGAATGAACGGTAAAGAGCCAATGTGAACAAATGTAAATTGTCGATAACAACGTGAGTATATAATCGATAATGTCGTATGTTGTTCCCACAACTGCAGTTTCATGTCGATAGTGCCATTTTCTATCAATAGCCTTGTTTCTTTGTTGGAAAAAATCTTTAAGTTTTTAACCATTTACTCGAATAGCATGTTACAATAATTTCCAAGTTAGACCATTGCAATCATCTGAATATAATTTTTTCTTTCGGTAGTCTTGTAATGTCAAAACATATTTTTTTAATAATAAAGAAAATAATTGAGAAAATTTTAAAATTCTGTTGTATTTTAAATTCGAATTTACAGCTTTGTAGAGAATAAATGTTTGGGTTCTGGGAATTTTTAATTTTACTAGGAACTTGATATTGTGAAAAATCAGTTAATTTTTGTTGTGCTCAATACATACAAGAATTATGGTAAAATTAAGAAGGTAAAGTCATTTCAAAAAAGCATTCCCATCTCTGCATTTTCTGTAATTTACCTTGTCACATTTCACTACATAAAAACAGGTTCCCATCTTTGATTTGGGTATGCACAATGGATTTATAAATTCAATTTTGACAATGGGATGTCAAATGAATATTTTTTGAAAAAATTTTAAACATATGATTGCATGACTTTACCTCCTTGATTCTACCATGGCAAGAATGTAAAAATTGTTCTTCGATAAACCATTTTTCCTCTATTGTTTTGAAATACAGTATAAATTTAAATAAATCTTTTCCTATGACAGCTCTTTCCCTTATGATAGCAGGTTTTGGAATAGATATATATTTCTCCCAGAAAATTGATAAAAAAAAAGTAAAAACTAAATGACAATTCTTCAAGATCAAAGTATTGACCAATAAGAAGCTGGAAATTCTGCTAGTTTTCTTTATTCGGTGAAATTTGTTAATCTTTATTTTTTTCTGACCTAAATTTACTAGCTTTTTTCAATCTATTTTTTTGCGTTTTTTCATGTCATTGATAAAACAACAATGGCTTTTTTATCTTGAATGTTTGTTTTATTTATGTTTCTCCTGATGGGAAATGGGTAACACATATTTTTCATATCATTCATATTTTGAAATTCATATTGTGGCCTTATACCTTGTGCCGGTGTCGATAACACCATTTACCATCAGCTGTTTAGTTTGGGTCGATATAAATGTTCACCTTCGCAACTGTCAAAATCTCAATGACGTATGACGTTTGATTGTGGTCATATTTTCTACCAGAGTTGTACGTGTCGTCGGGGTCGGTAGTGTTCTTATTTCCAACAATTTTTAAGACCAATCAGAATTATATTTTGCTAACCAGAAAAATACCATACCCATCCCATTTTGGCATAACTTTTGATTTATCAAAATTTTTCGTTTTATTTTTTCCTCAAAGCATAAAAATTAGTTTTGTGAAAAACTTGATGTGCGCGAGCTGATGGTGCTGTGTGTGTAGAAAAAGAGGAAAAATCAGAAAAGCATAAAAAAGAAGTGACGGAATTTTTCCAAAAATAAGTTATCGTTCGGCTTTGCCAGTCTGCCGTGAATCATAAAACAAACAACTAAACAGCACTAAAGCACTAATATCAGTGTTTAATTTTGGGGCGGTACAAAAAAATTCAGCGCTATCAGAAAAAAAATCAAGTCAACGAAAAAATTTGAAAATTCTTGAGAAGTTATTTATTGTGTGTGTTCGGAAGCAAGGAAGATAAGAAGACAGATATTGCAAAATGTTTAGTTTTTTGAAACGTGAAAAGAACAACCAAGAGGTGGTGGAGAATGTCATTGGCGAGCTGAAGAAGATCTACAAAAGCAAATTGCTGCCCCTGGAGGAGCATTACCAGTTCCATGACTTCCACTCACCCAAACTGGAAGATCCTGATTTCGATGCCAAGCCCATGATTCTGTTGGTTGGCCAATACTCAACAGGTAAAACCACTTTCATTCGTTACTTGTTGGAACGTGATTTCCCTGGTATTCGCATTGGCCCCGAACCCACCACCGACCGCTTTATTGCTGTCATGCACGACGACAAGGAGGGTGTTATCCCCGGTAATGCCTTGGTAGTTGATCCCAAAAAACAATTCCGTCCTTTGAGCAAATACGGCAATGCCTTCCTCAATCGTTTCCAATGCTCATCGGTCAATTCGCCAGTATTGCAGGCCATTTCCATTGTTGATACCCCCGGTATTTTGTCGGGTGAGAAGCAACGCATTGACCGTGGCTACGATTTCACTGGTGTCTTGGAATGGTTTGCCGAACGTGTAGATCGTATTATTCTGTTGTTCGATGCCCACAAATTGGATATTTCCGATGAATTCCGCCGTTCCATTGAGGCTCTGAAGGGTCATGACGACAAGATTCGCATTATCCTCAACAAGGCCGATATGGTTGACCACCAACAGCTGATGCGTGTCTATGGTGCTCTTATGTGGTCTTTGGGCAAGGTGTTGCAAACACCTGAGGTGGCCCGTGTTTACATCGGATCATTCTGGGATCAACCTTTGCGTTTCGATGCCAATCGTCGCCTATTTGAAGATGAAGAGCAGGATCTCTTCCGCGACTTGCAGTCACTGCCACGCAATGCTGCGTTGCGTAAACTTAACGATTTGATTAAACGTGCCCGCCTCGCCAAGGTACATGCCTTCATTATTTCGGAGTTGCGCAAGGATATGCCATCCGTTTTCGGCAAGGATAGCAAAAAGAAAGATTTGATTAAGAATTTGGGTCAAGTCTACGATCGTATTCAACGTGAACATTCGATTTCACCTGGCGATTTCCCCGACATTAAGAAGATGCAGGAGGTTCTGCAACATCAAGACTTTACCAAATTCCATTCGTTGAAACCCCACCTTTTGGACATTGTTGATAATATGTTGGCCAAGGATATTGCCAAGCTGATCGAGATGATACCACAGGAAGAGATGACAATGGTTTCGGAGCCCATGGTTAAGGGTAAGTTCAGAAAATTGATTAATTTGAGGGAGGGACGAAGTAAGAGTGGCAATTTTAGAAAAATGTGATGAAATTGTTGTTTAAAGGTTTTTCATAGATTGACTTGAAATATAACGCACCTATATTGAAAACTGTTGGTCCTATCCAAGGCTTAAATATCTGTAGTAAATAAAAAATAAGTTCAAAAACAAATATAAAACCGATCTGAGGGCGTTCTTAAATTTGTCATATCTCCAATTTTTTTGGCTTTATGAGAGGGCCAAAGAGAAACGCCCTTCCTAATGATTTTTTTCATATTTTTAATATTTTTAAATTTGATTGAAGCACATCCTACGAATATCTCATGCTTATTTTCTTCGAATGGAAATTTTGTTTTTAATTTTTTTTTTCTAAATTCTATTTTTGTAATAAAAACTGATTTGTAAGATGGGCATTTCGCTTGTCATGCACAATTAGCACCTGTGGATTGTAAGTGAAATACTTTGCACTTTGTGTTTTAAATACTTGTCATTTCAAAATGAATCATCGTTGTTCTTCACACTTGAATTCCCATATAGAATTGACTTTTGACATGTTTTGAAATAGCCATAAATAGAATAGGGTGATAAATTGAATTGGGTGATAAAATTTGAAAGCTGTTGGAAAAAGTCTTAATCCACAGGTAGCACTAGATACGAACACTTCGAAAAGAAGGCAGATAAATCTTGGTTTTTATTTTCTACTCGTAATTGTCCAACGTTCGAGATATTGAATAGACATCATAATTGCAGTTTTGAACACTAAAAGTCTTTCTTGAGAGCTTGTATTTAAAACAGAGCGGTTTCAACTATCCGTCCTTTGGATCAAATCATTGGATAGAGCAAAAATGTGTAAGAAATGTATTCCATGTTCGGTTTAGCATTTAATCAAATCTCGGAATAAAATTTGCAGCAAATCTGATTAAACAAAGTGTTCAAATTTCCGAAATGCATAAAGTGATTGAATAACGTTGTACTTGGTCTAAACCTTGATTGCTTTACGATATATACCTACCACCAGCGGGCTAACCCTTTATCTGTTTAGGCTATATACACAAGTTTACACTCAAAATACCAAATTATAAATTAATTCGTTTCAAAAGTTTTACTAAAACCTTCGATATATCCGAAAAATGGTTCTCAACTGTCTGTACAAAATCGTGGGACCGTGTCGATAAGTTTAGGCAATATTTTTTTCTGTCCACTTAGAACACACAAACTTTTTAAAACTGAATATGTCAAGGTATATATATTAAGTCTTTAGGGACCAGGACCCCATTGTTATACCTTACGCCACACAATGGTACAGGAAATTATATCTTTGTGCATTTGTTGGAACAGGCAAAAGGAAGCGAGATAGATCTATAATCCCTTTTTACGATCTTCAAAGAAACACATTCTGAGCTGCCCATGTATTTTCCTAATCGGTCTGCTCATATATTTTTGTAAACAAAGTCCTGGTCTCATTTATTTTCAGGTTGATATTTTCTATTAAACTTTTGTTTGCTCCAAGAAGAAACCCTATTCAAAATTTGTGAGAATCTGACCAAATTTAAATATGGCTTTAAAATATATCTTCGTCCGATTTTAATTTGATTGTGCGACATGTGCCCAGATAGGTTGGAATTTGGCAAATACGACTAAACTCAGCCTAGAATTAAGTACTTCAAATTTAATGAAAATATGTTCAGATATAGCTATAGCTCACATGCATACGTTCATCCGATTTGGTGTTTAGGTTCCTCACATTTGCAATATGCACTCCAGATATCAGATAAAGCCCAAAAGTACCTCTGCCAAATTTTATTTAGATATAGCTCCCATATTGTGCACCAAATGGTTAATATCATCTCAAATGGAGTAGAAATTGGCAAATACGACCGAATTCAGCAAGTATTACAAATTTGGGGAAAATTGGTTGAGATATAGGTTAGGTTTTGGTACATTCCATTTTATGAAGCTTGTTCCCAAACATCAACTGCTCCAAT